ACAGACGAGCTACCGTAGCTCAAACTGCTGAAACAGTTAATGCTGGTTCTGATAGAAAGGTGTCAGAACAGAACATACAGTGCATCAGTTTGTTGGTATGGGGTTGTCTTGGGGTTGACTTTGATGCAAACACAAATATTTTTAGTTGACATAAAACTACATTGTGGGAGAAATTTGTTTAACCAAGAACATACACCTAAGGTGTGTATGTCACATTTCTACTGGGAATAAGGAAGACATGTCCTCCTTTCTTTTCAAAATCCTACCCCCAACCACACCCATCTCTGTTATTGCTTTGGGTTGATTTTGTCTGCTAAAATCTCTCTAAATATTGTGTTCTGACTGTGCGGCCACCATAATTGAAATGAGAGTGGGGAGAAGCTGATAAAAATGTTGATCCACACATCTGAGTCACCTTCAATTATCCGGTACTCACAGCAATATGCTAAACAAGCAGCCAGTGCTTTGCAGACTTAGTATTTTGCCTTTCTTACTTACAGTACCTTGTTGGTGGATGTTGTTGAAGAAGACATACACTACATTATTATTTACAGTTTCCTAAAAAGACACTAGAACTGCAGATCAATCAAAGATGGTGTAGTAAAGGACAGTGTTCTTCTGTTGTAAAGATATAAATATAATCTTTGCTAAAACTTGAAAAATAATATTAGATATTGAAATATAATTATAAGTACTATGAAGATATGACACCATAGCCCAATTGAATGTTTGCTTTCAGGTTGTAAAATCAGGTCAACGGCTAACCTCTAACATGTTTGTCTTGCTCAGTAAAGCTAAAGAGACAGCACATGAGGACAGCTGGAAAGAACACCCTTTGCAATGTCTGACCGTCTCCGCCCGTTTCCCCTGTTTAGGGCGCCAGCGGCTGCTGTACCAGCTGGCAGGCGTGGTGCCCAGCCCTCTACTCTTGGAGCTGCTTAGCTGCCCTCTGTGTGCCCGCAGCCTGGAGACCTTGGAGCTGGAACTGGGAGACCTGGAGGGAGGCAGGGGAGAGGCTGACGGACTGCATGACTTCCCCCAGGTCAGAATAAACAGGGGTGCACTAATGGTAAACAGTGAGGATGACGGGTTGTGGAAGTGGTGAAATTGCATTAATGATGGTGGTGATGATTTAATAAAAACTGATTAGCTTATAGCTGTTTTTACTGATTATTTTGTATATTTTCTACAGTCATTACTGAATAAAACTCACCCATCTTTCCTCTAGAGTGGGGATCTGAGATGTAGGCGAGGTCGCAGCAGACGGCGGGGAGTCGTAGAGTACAAAAACGGAGTGGTTCAGGCCTGGGTAGGCTTCAGGGAAAAACTGAAGAGGATTGTAGAAAGTAAATACTTCAACCGAGGGATCATGATCGCTATCCTCATCAATACTCTCAGCATGGGGATAGAGTACCACGAGCAGGTAAGAATAATAAGATGTAGGGTAAATGAAAGCCCTTAACAGCTCAGATCGATGGCTCAAAAAACTAAAAGGGCTATGACTGACCTTCAAAAAGAACAAGTAGTTTGATGAGAACAGCTGGCCGTCAGACACGACATTTGTGTGCGAAAATAAATGGCATTTGGTTGTCTGGAGTCCAAATGAGAGGAAATGAGAGTATAGCGACGGGAGGAGGCAGGGTGGACTTGGGGGGGG